TATACTTTGAAGAAATGAACTTCAATCTTTACTCTTTACTCAACTTGAACTTTAAGTCTTAAAACAACGTTAAAACATTTGGAAAAGAGTTTTGGAAAACTCTAAGAACTCTTCTTGACTTGAGTCTTACTTCTCTTGACTTTGATCTTAACTTTCCTTGAATTGGATTATGGATTCAAGGTTCATGATCTCATGTTATGAATAATTTCATGATGTTTAAACATACCTTAGAGTATAGAAATCGATTGGAAAACATAGGTACGTTACTAAGGAACTAGTATGGAAAGAAGGGGGAAAATTGGGTAAACTAGTGTCCCTGGCGCTCTAAGAGGCACGGGGCGTCAGAGGACAAAGTTCAGATAACCCTGCTTGGGGCTTTGAGAGGGGCTACACCCCAAAGGCCAAAGTTCAGAGAGCCCTGCTTGGGGCTCTTAGAGGGGCGACGCCCCAGGTCTCTGCCCAGGTGCTTCTGATTTTTCTTCTTCGTTTTTTGACTCTAAACCCCTTATTTCGACTTGGTTCTTTCCCCAAACACTTAGAATCAACTACACCATCAGTATATGAAATATTATAATCGAATTCACACCTAAAATCATGGATTTGGATCAAACAACCCCTCAACAATTTCAACGAATCAAGAATTCAAAGGAACTTCAACAAACCCATAAAGAACTCAATTTCTAAACTTTCAAAAACTTAAATTCACTGAAATAAATCATGATTGGCGCGTGGATGAGCTAACCAAACGCTATGTGATCTCACATACCTCGTAGGGATCACCCTTTGACGAAATCCACAAGAGATTCTTGAAGATCTTGGCGATTCTTGATTCTTCTCCTCTTCTTTTCTCTTCTCTCAAAACCCCAACTCTTTATCCAAAAGCATCCAACTAATTACCAAAAATCCAAATAAAATAATTGGGTAAGGAAAAGACCATAATGCCCTTCTAAAATCTGGATTAGACTTTCCTTAATTGAGTATCCCAACTTCAAATGGGCATATCTCACTCATATGAACTCGGAATTGCGCAGCCTAGGAGGCATTAGAAAGATAATTCTGAGATCTTTCCTACGGTATCGAAAGCACACCTAACTCATCCTCATATAAGATTTATGGTTATTTGAAGTTGACCAAAAACTCAAACTTAACTTAACTTAACCAATTTTCCAGATTTTTATTATTTCCAAAAATAAGTCTTTCTAATTCTAGCTCTTTTTAGTTACGGGGTGTTACAGACAAAGTGTGGAAATTAATAAGGTTAGGGTAAATATTTCATTACCCATGAATGTACCTATTTTGGCACCAATAACAAATATTGTTCCTCTTGTTGAAGAACATTTTTACAATGTTGAACAACATTTGGGTGAAACACTTCAAGAAGGAACTAACTCACAAGTATCTGACACAAATGAACCATAAACAATGTTATTAAGAAAATCAATCATTTCAGATGATTATGTGATTTATTTGCAAGAGTTAGATTTTGACATTGGAATTAATAAAGATCTGATTTCATTTTCACAGGCCATAGAAAGCAATGAGTATGATAAATGGATTGATGCCATGAATGAAGAGTTAAAATCCATGAAATACAACAAAGTCTGGGATCTCGTTCAATTACCAGAAAGTTCTAAAAGAATCGGCTGTAGATAGGTCTTCGAGACCAAACACGATTCTAACGGTAATATTGAACGATATAAAGCCAAAATTGTTGTCAAGGGATACACACATAAAAAAGGCATTTATTATAAAGAGACCTTTTCACCAGTCTCAAAGAAAGACTTATTAAGAATTGTTTTTTACTTTGGTAGCTCATTATGATTTAGAGTTACACCAAATGGATGTGAAAACGGCCTTTCTTAACGGAGACCTCGAGGAGGATTTTTATATGGACCAACCAGAGGGTTACGAAATTAAAGGAAAAGATAAATGGTGTGTAGTTAAAGAATTCAATATATGGACTCAAACAAGCCTCACGACAATGGTATATAAAGCTTAATGATACCATAACATCTATTGGATTTAAGAAGATTACTGTTGATCGGTGCATATACCAAAAGATCAGTGGGAGTAAGTTTATGTTTTTAGTCTTGTATGTTGATGACATTTTACTTGCTGCTAATGATTTAGGCATATTGCATGTGACGAAAGACTTTTTCTCTATGAACTTTGAAATGAAAGATATGGGTAAGGCATCCTATATGATAGGGATAGAATATTCCGTGATAGATCACAAGAATTATTGGGACTGTCTCAAAAAGGTTATAGCGAAAGAGTTCTAGAGAGATTTGACATGAACGATTGTTCAACAGGAATAGTTCCTATTCAAAAAAGGGACTAACTTAATCTCATTCAATGCCCAAAGAATGATGTAGAACGAAAAGAAATGGAAACAATTTCTTACTATTCTATTGTTGGAAGTTTGATGTATGTTCAAACATGCACAAGACCGAATGTTTGTTTTGCGGCCGGAATACTAGGAAGATATCAAAGTAACCCTGGAATTGATCACTGGAAAGCTGCTAAAAAAGTTTGTGGCATGTTATGAAGCGACAATTCATGCATTATGGCTGCGAAACTTTATTTCAGGACTTGGGGTTGTCGACACCATTACCAAGCCGCCAAAAATTTATTGTGATAATACTGCAACAGTATTCTTCTCCAAGAACAATAAGTATTCCAAAGGTGCCAAACATATGAAATTAAAGTACTTTACTATCAAGGAAGAAGTTTAGAAACAAAGAGTGTTACTTGAAAATATTAGAACTGATCTTTTGATTGCATATCCGTTAACAAAGGGCTTACAACCAAAGACATTTAATGGACATGTTCAAAGAATGAATCTTGGTTGTACTTATGATTGATACATTTATGATGTTTTTTTCTCTCTGAGCTCAATTATGTATTTCTGATATACATTAATGAATTTCTTGTTTCTCATAATAGTGTATACATTATTGTTTTGAGATATTACATGATAAGTCTCTATGAGACATTATTGTGGATCGTAATGTTATATGTTTTTATAGCTTATGAACCTAGTATGATAAGTAGCTAATGTAGTACTATATGGAAGGAAGTATGTAGCTTAAAATTTATGTACAACTGCCATAACTCACATTAGTAGTTTGTTATATTGTGGTATGCATGATGGACATTATAGAAGAGATTTATTGTATGCACAATTAATGTTTATGAAATATTAATGTTACATGGTCATTGGGCTAAGTGGAAGAATGTAAGAATTATTTCTTACTTATGGCCCAAGTTTACTTGTAACCCAAATAATACCATAAATAATATTTAATGAAGAATAGATCTCGTTTATACATTGGTTATTTGATGGACGTGCCAGATTAAGTCTTAACCTATATAAATATTGGTCCTCCCCCCACCCATTAGAGTTATCACATATTTTCTACAGTAATTCCATCACTGACAGCTGTTGTAACGTAAGGCTAGGGCAAGGAGATAGAAACCAATTTACGACTATTGCTTCTGCTTTTCTCTGTGATGATGTCTTCCACATTAGGTATGTTCCCCTAACTATCTCTATGTAAGATTATCGTGTTCAAAATCCTAATGTGCATTAAAGTATTTAATTTTACATGAGAACGTTGGAATAGAAAATTTACTTTAGAAAGAATTTTAACAAGCAGATGATTAAAGAAAAAACTGCACACCTTTAGGAAATGTGGAGCATTAATATAGAAATGCAAGTAAACCTAGAAATAGGGTTGTTAAACTTCTTAGGTAATCTCCCTAAAATGTGTAATTAAGTCTTCAAACTTTTAAAATTTTACTATAAACCCTTGAGGTAATTTTAATTTTAATTTTACTATTTACTATTAAATTATTTAGATATTTGATTATTACCTCATCCTAGAACGTGTATTTAGTCTTAATTTAAATTTTACTATTTATTATTTAATTAATTAAATATTTGATTTAGTGTAGGGGTAAAATGGTAACTAACTTTTCACTTTTGAAGCTTCCCACTTATAATAATATATGATATATGATATATGGAGGTTCAAAAACCTCACTTTTTTCAATGAATTTTGAGTGAGTAAAAGTTGGAAGCTTAACCCATTTGACTAATTCATATTTCACCCATAGTTTACTACAATCAGGATCCGGCTCTTTTCCATTTCTCTTCTCTCCATTTTTCCCAAGTTCTTATTTTGATTGAAGACACTTGACATATGGGGAAATAATGACTAAGATTTAATTGATTACATCAATTGTTTAATCATAATTTAAAGAAATAATATTTCATAAGCAAATTAATAATGTCATATTATAATAATATACTATCTTCTCCATAAATACATAATAAACTTTTCTTTATTTTCCTACTTTTTCCCCCCTACGAGTATCTATCTTTCTACTTATTTTTTTTTTCAATTAAGTTAATCTTTGATTCAAATTGTTTGTGGATCTTTCTCTTTAAAATTAGCTATCATAGAGAATTATATTGACAAACAATTGAAGTATATTTTTTTTAAAAAGAAAAAAGAAAAAGTGAGAGGTAAATACTGCTTAGGAAAAAAATTTAGGAAGAGAGAAAAGTTTATAATATTTTCATGAATAACATAATATAATGATATGATTGTGGCAATATCCTTACAACCACAAGCATCACTCGCATCAAGTCCGATCGCCTTGTTTGACGTATACTAGTAGTTACTCTACGAGGTTCAAGAGCAGAGACAAATGCAACAAACTAATGTTTCCAAATATTGAACATTGTAATAAAGAAAATATGATACATAAAAATTACTTTTGATAATTATAAGATTCTTTATCTTCTATTCGCGTAGTTTGATTATGGAGAGATAGCAGAAGGAGGAGTACATTTCATTAAGAAACAATATAGTAGTTAATACTCAACTTTTAAAGGTAACATGACTTAACATGTTCGAACTACACACTGAATATTAAAACAAGCAATCAAAAATAATACTTTAATAGTCGCTAAAACAAGAAGTTACTCTTCTTTAATTTCCATAAATGCCAGCCCCATATGTTGAGGAAATGAGATCAACAAGGAGGGGAAATTGCAGAAGCACAAATGAAGTAATGGGTAGGCAAGCCATTGTCGCGATGGGTATAAGAACCCATGCTTTCTGCTGCCCAAACATGAGATACACTGTTGAGCTGAAGCTAATCATCATGAATGCTATGGAAAAAATCAGAGCTACCAGTCCCTGGATAAGACTCCTTGGCAAATTATGCAGGAAATCTTCTTCTGCATAACGAGACGTCAAAATTGACAAGAACACTAATAGAGAGGTGCTTGAAGTGAACAATGAAGCTGCATTCGAGATTGCAAAAATGATGAAAGCAATGTTTCCAGAGAAAATGGGGTGTCCACTTTGTTGTTCGTTGCCACCTGGTACTGTGATTGCTGCAGCAAAGGCGATGGTAGCAATCAGTGCTGCTGCAATGGTGCATGAGCTTGATGTATCTTTCATCCATTTCTCTCCATCTGCTTTCAACTTCTCATGTTCCTCAGTAAAAACCATAAACGGAGCTTTCTCCTCGCGGTTTAAGCGTTCCCAGTACGCAGGCGGGACCATCTGCTTTACTTCCTAATTTATATATATTTGATATCAGCATTATATGCAACAAGACTGCTCAACAACACATATATAACTTGGACATTAAAAGGAAAAACATTTACTCAAGGTTGTATACTAAAAACTGAATTTGATTTGGAAAGACTTATAATGCATTCGGTAATTAAAATGCTTAGTTAGAGTCTATGTAAAAGAAGTTACTCTCTTTGTCTCATATTAGTTGTCATGTGTCACTTTTCGAGAATCAAACTACGTGAACTTTGACTAATATCTTAAAATTAACATGAGAAAAATTGCAACTTGTCGTATAGTTTTTGAATATCAAAACTTGATCTAATCCAGTTTGACTTTTGAAAAGAGAAACATGACAAATAATTTGGGATTGAAGGAGTACTAATTCTTAACCACATAATGAGATAAATTCGATTGGAGTACAGAAGTTAAATCACCTTAAACCACTGTAGTTCTCGTTGCATCTGAAAAGCTGGTCCAGAGACAAGGTTTAGCTTATTTGGTGGTGCCAACTTTCCAGCCAAATCCAAGATGCTATTGCCAGAGGAGTCTACAGCACACACCAAATGGTGCAGAAGCTGGCTCATCTGACAGACCACCTTAAACACATTTTTGCAGCGATTCTCTATTGCAATGTGTAAAATATTCTTCTGATTTTCAACATCATAATAAACTAAAAAAGGAAAGCTTCTGAGTATAACTTCAACAAGCTTATAGTTGTCACAAAATGCTGCTTCAAGTAGAGAACTGCCAGCAATAGATTCAACTTCTCTGTCACGCAGATTTTCTATTTTCTCGCATAAGCATGTTGCATAGTTAAATGCATTGTGATGAATTGACTTTTTATCTCGGACACGTTTCAAATGAGGCACTGCAACACAACAACACAAAAAGAGTAATTTGTTTGAGACACAAAGTACAAAGAAATTAGTGTAGGTGAAATCCTTAGGCATATATAGATAAATTTGAAGAATTAGATGACTTGTATCGAAAGACAAGGACATGAGAAGGAGAAAAATAAATCTATAATGGAGGAAAAGAGAGGTGAACAGAGTCAAGTGACTCAAACTAGGATAATTTTTGCAGATCTTCATACTTAAATACGTATTAGAGAAGAACTTTAGCTACACTAATATAATTAGACCCGCAAATGAAATAATGCAATGAAAAGCTTGTGGATCGGTCTAAAGTGCCTTGGCAAGGTTGGAGTAGAATGACTTGACAAGTTATTTAATGTTATACTTGTGAGTGGAAAGATGCCAAAAGATGAGAAGTTATTCAATATAACAACCTGACCCTTCAACTACTTTTGGCCATTTTGAGCCTGAAGATCACCCTAAATCATTGAGGTAACAATTCTACATCACTTTTTAACTATTGCAATTGACTATTATTGATTTTTCATCGTTGAACCAATATTTTTAAGGGAGAAATCCAAGATTTTAATCCTAGTTTCAAAATCGGAAAACTAGGAATTGTATAGCATCCATGTCGGTCTACTTACACTAAAGTTGACGGGCTTCAATGAGAAATCAAGAAGATGTTTATCATGGAAGAAAAGTCCAAGATTGACCCAATAATTATAACTAAGAAGTGGACTAAATTTACATATATTTCATGGTTCAAGTACGAGCTCATCAATCCTAATTTATCTGGGTGGTTAATTATTTTCTTTATATATCATACTTCGAAAAGGTTGTTACTAATATGGTTTATACATAAATCCTAAAGGATTCATCCAAAGATAGTAATTTGAGTGGAAAATGTCAAGAGAGAGTGAGATCAATAGAGAGAAGAAAAATTCAAATTGAGAGATACTTATTTCTTTGATATTGTTTGAGATGTTTGAACCAGGTACAAAAGATGAAGTTGGAACTCAAAATGACACCAACTTTGCTGAAGTGTCAATCACACACGATAGGAGAATATGAATATCACCTTTATGAATTGAGGAGGAAAAATATTTTTCATACAAGGTATGCGATAAATGGTAATATTTTCTCTATGATTATTGATAGTGAAAGTGGTACTAATGTGGTAAGTTCATATGTTGTGGAGAAACCGAAACTTACATGCATTAAACACACTACTCTTTATAAGTGACACTGGTTGAATGATATTAATGAGCTTAAGGTGTCTAAGCAATATAGGATTTCTTTTTCCATAGGAAGGTATTCTGATAATGTTCTTTGTGACCTCATTGCAATACAAGATTGTGACATCATGCTTAGACGGTCATGCCAATTTAATAGGAATGCAGTTTACGATAGGTGAAAGAATAGAGTTTCTCTTGAGCTAAACAAAAAAAATATACACTTGCACCTTAAATCACATCTCAAGTTTATGAAGATCATAAACGTGTGAAAGAAGCCATGAGAAATTATGAGAGAGAAAAGAACAAGAGAAGTAAGGGAGTGCATATTGACATCTCAAGAGAGGAAAAAGGTGGGGATGTGTTGTTTGAAGAGAATGAGATGTCAAGTGAGAAAAAAAGTGACATCGAGAAAAAAGAAAAGAGGGATGGTCTTGAGGTAGAGAGAGAAAAACAAGAGAATTAAACTGAGATTATCTCTTATTCTATCGCTTAACATTCTAACTTCTTCTTCTTCTAGTTGTTTTGACTCACTTGTAGGTACTCATGAGAAAGTTTGCATTGAAAAACAATCATTGGATAAACTTAATCCTAAGGTGGTTGATACTAGTTGTCTCATTAAGCAAGTGCAAGATAATTCTTTTGATCTTGTCCAAGATACGACTCATAACAAAAAGCTCAATAAGGCAATTGTGGATCTAACATCAATGAGCAAGGAAAAATGAGGTGATGTTATTCCCATTATACATAAGACCAAGTACGGTATGTATAATTGGTTCATTCACATTCTTGGTATTCCTAAAACACCTAAGGTCTTTTTGGAGGTAATGAACCACACTTTTAATTCTTATGTTGGTGAATTCATAAATTTTGAGGATGATGATATTTTGTTATATAAAAATATTTGTCAAGTTCTATAAGAGTAATTTGATCTCTTTTAAAATTGAGCATGATATAGTTGATTGTGGATTTCCACTTGTTGAAAAGAGAAGTGATGATTGTGCGAGGAAGATTGTGAATGAGTTAGATGATTCTTTTATAGTTTTAGTGTTGAATTCGATTTTTGTGTGATAATTTGTTGGAATATGATATTTTCTATGAGATGAGACATAATTCTTCAAATCTTGATGAGTGTGAGCTTTAAGGTGTTTTCTACTAATTAGAAGGTGATGCATGACTATTATGATATTAGTGATGAAATACTCTTTGATGAGCCTATTCGTGATTTTTTATTTAAGAATTTGAGCAAGTACTTAGAATTTAATGGAGATTTTAACTTGAACCATAAAGGTTCTTTTAACCTTTTTGGAAACTATATTTTTATATGAATAGTTTTTATGTAGGAGAATCTTTGGAAGGTATAATCAAGAATGCCTGGCTATATCACAAAAGTGTCGAATTTGATGCGAATTTTGTAGTGTCTTTGTCATAACCAATGGATTACTTTGTTGATAGAACTAAATTGAAGTTGCATGTATCATTCGCAATGGAATCTAGACAAGGATTTTGATGTGCTTATATAAGTAGGAGACTTTCTATTGGGATAATGATGTTCACATACTTTATAAGGGTGTATTTACACAAGCTAGAATTAACCGATTTAAGTGGACACATAGTAACTATCTTGTTTTGTTCCTACCATTATTAATTTCGAGTAATGGATACTATTTGCTAATGCATGTCTTCTTGATTTTGCGAGATTCAAATTCGAGGACGAATTATTTTCAAGAAGAGGGGAATGGTAGCATCCATGTCGGCCTACTTGAACTAAAGTTGACGGGCAGCAATGAGAAATCAAGAAGATGTTTATCATGGAAGAAAAACCAAGATTGGCCCAAAAACTATAACAAGAGGTGGACTAAGTTTACATATATTTCATGGTTTAAGTTCGAGTCCAAGAGCCGAAAGATTGGGCAACATAAAGGCCCAAGAAGAGGGCCCACATGGAGCCCAATAGAAGAATAAAAGTTTCTTATTTTAAAAGCTTCCTAGTTCAAATATTTCCTAGTATAAAGTTTTTCCTAGTTTAAAAGTTTTCTAGTTTAAAAGTTTCTTAGTTTAATATTTTCTAGTTTAAAATTTTCAAGTTATTATTTCCATAAAAGTACGATTTGAATCTCATTTTATTTGGGATAGGTTTTCCCTATATATAGGGGGTAGATCTTATTATTGGAGAAAAGACATGATTAATATTATTTGAGAGGTTTCTCTTCTTTACACCTTTGTGTGGGGTGACTATGCCTTTATCTTACAACCTTATAAGAACGATTCTTTAAAAAGTAAAATTAATTCTTAACTTGATATCTTTTATTTCTATTCGTAAATTAAAGAAGGTGATTAGTTTTATTCTAATTATTCTCTCTAATTTCTTCAAAATAGGGGTCTAGATCACTTTTGATCTATGTTCTTGAATTGATTTTATTAGTATCATAATTAGCTTTAATTCGCTTTAAATATTAAGATCAATTAGGGCTCTAAGCACTTTTCTTGAATTTGGAAAGTTTATTCTTGAACTTCACATATCTTTCAATTTCTGTCTTTAATCTTTATAATTTCGCTCCTGCATTATTTTCTTGTTTATTCTGGTACCCGATTCTCATTGGGATTTTACCTAGCCATCTAAGTTAAAATTGAAACTTTATTATAGAGTTGGAATCGTGAGTTATGAGTAATCGAAATTTACAATTTGCTTGATCCGACAATTATGTAAATGGACAACTTATTCTAGTTTGAACGCGTTATTAGAGTGTTAGTGGATTCTTTCTATATTTTGTGTCCATTGTTATGCTTTGAATATATTGGAGTGATTATTTATGAGGGCACATGAGCTAAGAGGGATATGAGAAAGTTATTATACTTCATAATTAAGCAAGTAAAGTAAGTTGGTGAAATAAGTTAATCTTGAGATTGAGATGTCACAATACGATTGTTTGTTGATTTTTGTATTCTTAAAATTGTGATCTGGAAATACGAGAAGTTTGTAATGATCTGTATTCCTTTAGACTAATTGTCGGTATCAACCATTTAGATGCCTAATTGTATGCAATTATTTGTATGTGTTAATGATGTAACTGTACTTCACTTCATACTTAAAATGATAGATTACACCTAAAACTAATATATATATATATATAATGCTCCCTGAGATCATGCCTTTTACCTATAATATTTGACTATTATCTACACATAATCTAATAATTGAAATACTTTCTGATAATAACTTTACACTCCCCCTTAAGTTGGAACGTACATGTCATATGCTCTAAGTTTGCTGCAAATGTATTCAATCCCAAGTTCCTCTAAGGGACTTAGTAAGAATAACTGCCAATAATCATTTGAACCGACATAGGTGGTGGCAACATCCGACTCAATCTTCTACCTAATGAAATGATAATCCACCTCTATCTGTTTCGTTCTTTCATGGAAAACTAGATTTGACACAATATGAAGGGCAGCCTAATTGTCACATATAAGCTTCATGTGTTTGAATTCAACACATTTTAGCTCTTGAAGAAGTTGTTTCAATCAAATAAGCTTGCGTGTAGCAAGGGTCATAGCTCAATATTATGCTTTTGCACTAGATATGGCAATGACATCTTGCTTTTCACCTTTCCAAGAGATAAAATTGCCTCCAATCATGATACAATACCCATATTTAGAGCTTCTATCTGTCGGAGAACCTGCTCAATCCGCATAAGAATATCCAACAATGTCAATTTGACCTTTGTCTCATATCCTTGTCCTAGAGCTCTTTTGATGTATCTAAGGATGTGAATTAC